AACCTGTTGAGCTCCAGCGATCCTTCTGCCTCAGCCTTCCAAATAGCTGGAACTACAGGCGCGCACTACCACGCCTTGCTAATTTTTATTTATTGTAGAGATGAGGTCTCGTCAAGTTGCCCAGGCGGGTCTCGAACCTACGGGCTCAGGCAATCCACTCACCTCAGTCCCCCAAAGTGCTGGGATTACAGGCTGAGCCACCGAGCCCGGCTGATGTTTCACATTTTAATGAAGTTTACCTATTCTTCTTTTCCTTATGGTTAGTGCTTTTAGTGTACTGTAAAAAAAATTGCCTATTACCAAAATATGCTTTCCTTTGTTATCTTCTAGTGCTGTTATTGTTTTACCTTTCATATTTAGGTTTACAATCCATCTGGATTTGCTGTGCATTGCTGTAGATGGTGGGGCCCAAGATATTTTTCCCTATTCAGTAGTTCTGGAATCACCCTTACTCAAAAGTTTCTTTTCTCCACGGTGCTGAACTGTGTCAGCATTGTCATAAACTGGCAGGCAATATAGAAAGAGAGGTTTGTTTAGTCATTCTTTTTTTTTAAAATGATTGTATATTTTTGTACCAATAGAGCCCTTTTAAGTGTTGCTTATTTTTAGTGAGTCTTAAAATCTAATAATGTAAGTCCTAAATCTTTATTTTCTTCTAGATTGCATGAACTATTCTCAGTTTTGAATTTCATATACATTCTGAAATCAGGTTATCAAGTTTCTTGTGTGGAAAAAAAACTTACTCAATATTAATTGGAATTTTATTAAATCTATAAGTCAATTTGGGAAAGCTTTTCTCTTTAAAATACTAGATCTTGTAATATATTCCTTCCATTATTTAAATCTTCTTTGATTTCTATTACTAATATTTTATAGTTTTCTTAGACAGGGAAGTTGAGTTTTATCAAATGCTTTTTCTGCATCTATTAAGATAGTCATATTGCTTTTCCTTTTGTTCTATTAGTCTCTATTGTTCTATTGACTTACAGTGGTAAATCTTTAAATGTTAAACCAGCTTACATATATGGAAAACAAACAAACAACAATGTGGAGATGATGGTATTCTTGTAAATAGTTTTGAATTATATTTGAAAATATTTTGGTGTTTTTCTCATCTAAATTCATGAGAGCTTGACTCCTAATTTTCTTTATTTTACTGTGTTGTCAGGTCTTATGATCAAGGCTAGGTGTGACTCCTTAAATAAGTTTCTTCTTTCTTTAGTTCTCTGGAAGATTTTGTGCAAGATTGGTGTTACTTTTTTGAAGTATTCGCTCGTGAAGCTCAAGGGTTTTTTTGAGGAAAAAATTTAAACAATGGATTACACTGCTAAAACAAATATAGAAAAATTTAGGCTTTTTACTTCTTTTTAGTTAATTTTGGTAAGTTTAGTTTTTCAAATAATTTGTACATGTTTTAAACCTAAAATATCAAATTCCATATGTTTTCCATAATATTGTTATTTATTTGTGATGCTTCTACAATCTCTCGTGTGTTTCTTTCACTCATGCTATTGTTACCTTGGGGTGTCTCTCTTTTCGTTTTTTTGCTTAGTTTTATTAAAGGTTTATCATTTTTATTAACCTTTTATTAATCTTATTATACAGCCAACTAAATATATATATATATGCTCTTAATTTTCATTATTTCCTGTCCTGTATGTTTGCATTTAACTTGATCGTCTTTTTCTGGTAACTTAAAGTTATACTTAGGTGATTTATTTTTAACCTTTCTTTATATTTAATGCACTAAGTACCTAACTTTCTTTTTAAGCATGACTTTAGTTACATTGCATACATTTTCATGTCTTGTTTCTGTTATCATTCATTTCAAAACTATTTTCTTTTCTTTTTTTTAACTTTAAAAATGTGGGGTACTATTCAGGGTTAGGTATACAAATGTTCATTATGCAGGTACCCTTGTTGGTGAGGTGTGCCCCTCCCTCCCCTGGCAGTTTCCCTCAACTGCCAATCCCACCCCTCCCTTCCCTGGTAGTTTCTCACTACTGCCAATCCCTTTCTTACAGTATTATGATAATTGTTCAAGGTCTGCTGATGAGTGAGAACATATGATGCTCTGTTCTTTGTTTCTGTGATGGATCACTGAATATGATAGACTCTAAATCTATCCAAGCTGCTGCGAAGTCCATGTTTGTCCTTTATGGCTGCACAATATTCCACTGTGTACTACATTTTAAAAATCCAATTCAGTTTCAGTTTCAGTGGGCAGCATGATTAGTTTCATGTTTTTGCTATTGTTAACAGAACTGCAGCAAACATGCATGTGCAGGTGTCTTTTCTGTAGAATGATTTGAGTTCCTCCAGGTATATTCCAAATAGTGGAATTGCTGGATTATATGGTAGGTCAATGTCTAGTTCTTTCAGAAGTCGCCACAATGTCTTCCAAAGAGGTTTCTCTAGTTTGTATTCCCACCAGCAGTGTAGAAGCATTCCTTTTTCTCCGCATCCTCACCAATATGTGTTGTCGTTTGTTTTATTAATGATGGCCATTCTTACAGGGGTTAGGTGGTATCTCATTGTGGTTTTTATTTGCATTTCTCTGATGAGGAGTGAGGCTGAGCACTTTTTCATGTGTCTGTTAGCTGCCTGTATATCTTCTTTCGAGAAGTGTCTATTCACATCTTTTGCCCACTTTTTCATGGGACTGTTTGTTTTTTCCTTCCGGCACATTCAAAACCATTTTCTAATTTTCATTATAATTTCTTTCTTTACCTTTGAGTTATTTATAACCATACTGTTTAACTTGAAAAAAATTGTGGATTTGTGGTTAGTTTTTAAAAAATTATAGCTAGATTTTTCAGTCAAAAGTGTTCCATCCTTTGAAATTGGTTGAGCCTTGAATTATGGATCAGTATATGGTCAATATTGGTAAATATTATATGTACTTTGAAAGAAATGTGTAGTCTGCAAGTGTTGGATGCAGCATTCTACACATTTAAGATACATCAGTTTGATCCATCATGTTGAAATTCTTATATCATATATATTTTGTATATATACATTTTCCCCCAGTATTTTATGTACTTTTCATCAGTTACTGGGAGATATGTGTTAAAATCTTCTACTATAATCTTAGGTTTGTTTGTTCCTCCTTTAGTTTTGTAACTTTTGATACATTTAGAGGCTTTATCATTATATATTCAGGCAGTCCTTACTTTGCATGATAGTGTGGAACCACAAAATGACCGTGCAAGTTGAAACTGTGCAAAACAAGCCTAAGAATCAATGGAAACAATTACAATTGTTTCATGACCTCTAAACAACATTAAATGTTCTCTTATTTTAATACATAGGTAGGAAAATGAAAAACAGTAAAACTATTATTTATTTAGTTCTTGTAATTTGAAACATCTTACCAAGAGTAGTTTAAACATTGCTTGCCTTTTCCTCACCATATCACTTAAGCAGTTTTTCTGTGTTGGTGAATTGTCATATTTCTTGTCAAACTTGGATCTTCTTCCAACATTTTTTGTTTGTTTGTTTGTTTGTTTTTTGAGTTGGAGTCTCACTCTGTCGCCCAGACTGGAGTGCAGTGGCCGCTCCCGGCCACCACAGCCTCGACCTACTGGGTTCCGACGATCCTTCCGCCTCAACCTTCCAAGTAGCCGGAATTACAGGCATGCGCTACCACGCCCGGCTGATTTTTTGATTTATTGTAGAGATGAGGTCTCGCTGCCCAGGCAGGTCTCGAACCCGCGGGTTC